TAAAAGGTCGGATCCAACACGCCCAAATATGGCAGGATCGCTGGCAACTCCGTCTACTCAACACGCCATAAGAAAGGCCGTAGTAGCGGAAGCCCCACTTTGTCAACCTATCAGTAAGGACTGCAGGAAGAACGAAAGCTGATTTGATTCAACAAATTTTATGGGTCATAGTCTACAAGACACTCCTAATTGACCGGAGAATCAGAGTTCCAGTGGATAAGAGTAGTCTCGAACACCTACCAAATGTCCGTAGATTCTAAGTCTTCAACCACAAAGGATGACTTCAAATATACTAATTTCAGAAGAGTCAGTATTGGGGAGCATATTTCCCATAGCTTGAGTCTGAAACCTGAATGGGCTTAAAAAGCCGGATCCAACATGCCCAAATATTGCCGGATCACTGGCAGTTCTGTCTACTCAACACGCCATAAGAAAGGCCGCAGTAGAGGGACTCCGTTTCAGCAATTAGAGGACAAAGAGCTACTAAATCCTAGCTCTCCTAATCTGAGGAACTCAAGTGACTCGGATTAAAGGTCTTCTCAAGTGGTTAAGGATTAAGAAACTATTCACATTTGGTGCTATCAACTAAATCTAAGAACCTACAAATCTTTCATCAAGTCCGCCACACAAAGCATAGACAAAATGAGCCAAAATTTTTGGAATTTGAGCTAAATCTAATGGTTGTTGATTCCAACTAGTGGCTGAGGCGACATTGCTCAAAACTATCCTAAAAAAAACTGTGGGCATTTTAAATATTTATTTGTATCGACATCGCTCTGTATGCCATGATCTCCAAATAAATATTTAAAATTCCCTGTGGTACCAACAACACAAGTCTAAAATTCAAACTCAGAGTATAATTCAAGCACACAACTCAACACAGCTCAGAGTAAAAAAAAAAGGGAAGAAACACTGACAAAAAAAATCTTTTATATATATAATGATCATCATGAAGTACAAGTACATGAAGACTCAAGTCACTACAAAAAGTACAGACCAAAACAATAATGAAAGAGAACGTGTCAGAAAAGGCGAGCTCGTAGATTCTCCAGTCTGTCAGTGATTGTAGCTAAAGTCTGAAACTCTGACTGGGCAACCTGAAACTGCTCCATGGCACGTGCTAGTGAAGCGTCTGCATCTAGCACCTCCTGCTGCAAAGCTCTCTGACGCAATTCCTCCCTCCTAATGAGACGATCCCCTCGTCTACGTCTGTCCTGTATGTGAAGCCTCTGAGACATCGCCTGCGTGATGTCCCTCCACATGTTCCACATACGGGTTGTCACCCCGTCTTCCTCCCTAGTCATGTCAGAAGTACTCTGACGGTGTCTCCTCAGGATCTCTACACTACGGTCATATAGGTCGTGAGCACCATCAGCCCTCGCTCTGCAACTGACAACCATCCCCTCTTTCTCTG